CAACTCACGAGGACCCAATTTTCAGAGACGACTAAACTGGTGGGTTCCGAGGCGCGCTGATGAACTACAGAATGAATTATCTGCCCCACAACCGTGTCGATGAGGTATAGAGAAATTATTGGCAGGCCTCCTCTAGCCTTGCTCACTCCTCCTGTCATCACGGCAAGGAGATTGGGATTGACGTACTTGTATAGCACGTTTCGGTCGCCCAACACTCGTCCAATGGAGTAGACATGTTCTGGAGAAAGGGACAAAGTTTTTTGGAGTATAAACGAGGTGATAACGATGAGCGAAATAGCAAATCGGTAACAGCTATGAAAGCATTCAACTTATGTTTAAATGAGCTGGGGAAGAAATGAACCAGTTAGCCCAAATAATATAGGATTACTGTCTAAGGTATTGAATTAAATGAATCAATATGGATGACGAAGTCACGACTAAGCCTGTGTTAAGTAGACCCACATCCAGACGTATGTATGGACAGACAAATTATCACGTAGGAGTTTGGGCAAACAGTAAAAAGGTCAGTTAGGTGATGCTCAAACTCGGAGACTCACCACTAGGGGGATGTACTGCGGCCTGGAGGATGCGTTGTGGATAGTCCTCCGAAGAGAGGTGCATATGCCATAGTAGCTGTGCTGTGAGATTGGTGGTAGCGGCTGTGACGTTCCTGTTCACCGTCATCACACGATAACCCGAAACAGTAGCGGGTTCGGTATTCAACGCAAAAATGTAAAGACCATGGGCTGGAAGTAAGATTCTGGGGTTGATAGTGGATAAAGTAGGAGGCAGCAGCATCACCTATTAAAGAATAGAGAGAAAAGTGAAGGCAGGCACTTATACAGCAAGAGAAAACTTTTAATGGGGGTACAACTGCTTGACGAAATAGTTACACGTGGTTATTGAATTAGGACATTAAATGTAGAGCAATTTCAGCAAATTTATCGAGCTTTGCATGAGGAGCTGACAATAGAGCATTGGAAAAGGATTAAAAAATCTTGATTATTCAGGCAGCTTTGTCGATGTAAGTGATACTCACGGAGAGATTTTCCAGTACCACACAAAGGGGTCGCACATGGTTCGCCGCCTCAGCTTCCGCTTCGCCTCCCAACGTCGATAACATCCCCGATGCCGTCGTCGGTACCAATGCCGCCACCTTAACACGGCTAGGTAAGTGTACTATCGCCTCCTCCGCCTTCGTCGCCGGTTCTAAAGTTCGTGGGTTTAATGGAACACCGAGGATGGGGTCGAGGTAGAGAAGAGCGGAGTGAAGCTTCTTTGACTTCTGTGTTTCAAGTAGCACACAAGCCACGGGAGTGAGAGGAAAGTGACCGGTGGTGCGCTGTGTGAAGAGGTGCTGTGCCGAAGTGTTGGGCAAGCGGGTACCTGGCACAAAGTACTCCCAGACAATTCGACCGCGGGAACTCTCAATCCCAAAGATCTGGAGAAAGGAAAGGAGAACTTATCCGCTCGTTAGCTGGGATAAGTAAAAAAAGAGTGGAAAGC